TTTTTTTCTAGGTTTGCTCTCTGGTAGGTTTGCCTTCACCCCACCCTTTTTTCTTTTTTTTTTTAATCCATTCATAACTCACTGGTGAATCTGTTAATGAGGAAAGGAAAAGACTGACAACCCCAGGGAACAAAAAATCAAATCAGGGATTGCGCCTTCCTTTGCCTTGCGTACCACATGGTAAAAGGCTGCAAAAATATGTCTGAAATACCTGTCCTGCAAACAGTCTTTGGGTGTCTTTTTGTTTTTGTTTCTGGTTTTGGGTTTTCTTGTAGGTTTGTTGTGTTGGTTGTTTTTTTGGTTTTTTTTTCCTTGGATTATGTCTGGTAAATGATATTTTGCTTAAAATAAGCCCATACATGGGCTCTGGCTGGTGGGACTTTTTTAAGTAAGTCAAATTCTGGAATACAAGTGTTCATTCTGATATCATGATTCAGGAATAACTGTTTCAATAAACTTTCATGCATAGAGAAGGATGTGGGGAGAGGGTAACAGCTCTATTGGAAGACGTGTGCTGTGTACTGTGCATACTGTGAAAAGCATCTGGTCACAGCTTTAACACCAAACAGAAAACTTCGGTCTGCTACAGCAGTATTAATGAATAGTATCTTATCACCAATGGTGTTTACTAGGTAAAGGAATAAAATCAAACAGCATGTGAAGATGGACTTTCAAGGAGGAATATCTGAACCAACAACTGAAAGAACTCAGTAGAGCTCTTGCTGCTCCACAATAGTTGCTTTAGTTCAATTTCTAGAGCTTTGCCAGACAAATAATTTGTTTCACTTCTTCAAATAGTCAAATAGTTCCTATGATGTTATCTAGAACTATGGGCTCATGACAACTGAAGCCCAAAACTGAATATAGGAACGCAACTGCTCAAAGAACAGATCACATAGATGAAAGAACTGACTTTTTGATTGAAATCATACTGCAGTTGGTAATTTTCTGCAGCAATGTTTACTTTCTGACATCTTACAGCATGAATTATTCATGGCAAGGGAGCCAAAACCAAAATGGAAATGACGTATGGAAATACATGGAATGCCCCCACACCTTAAGCTAGAAACCTGCCTAAGCACCCCATTGTGAAATCCAGCACTCTTCCCTTCCGATTAACAAGAAGCAGTTTTTCTAGTTTCCTGTTTGCCTTCTGACAACCAGACTGGCCTTATTATTTCACCTTGTGCATTTGTGCTAAATCTACCCTTGGAGCTAACTCCCTTGTTTGGAGAAAACAAGTAGGCTCTCTGTATCCTGTCACAGCTACTTAGCCTCCATCCAGCTGAACAGACATTAGAAAAAGACAACCCTAAAGCACAAAGCTCTTAGAGAGTCATGATTCTGTGAGCTATTCCACATTTTGGTTAGAACAAGTTAGGTGTTCTGCTACACTGGCAATGCAGGTACTGATTCTTGGATTTAGAAAGTGTAGAGTGAAAAGAAACACATTGATCACTGAGTTCAGTACGCTACCATTGCAGGAAACTGTGGAACAGCTGTTAAGTCCAAAAAAGTCAAAACTTAAAGTGCTTCTTTCTACTGTCTGCTGTAAGAGCCCTACCATCTTCTGCTTCCTCCCCAAAAAATCCTTTAGAAAACTTGAGTTTTCTAGTAGAAAAGACAAAAAAAAAAAAAATTTAATTCCAGAATACAACATACCATAGGTATTGAAATGGCAAGACAAAGGATACTGTGGGTCTCTGCACTGGAAAAGGAACTGGTCAGGGGAAAATGTCCAGGGGACCTTAGAAACTGAATATTCCACACAGAGCAATCAAAGTGTCTTCAACAGTCACTGATAATAACCACAGGAAAATCTTCCACTAGACAAAAAAATAATGGTCAGTTTTATGTCATACGAAAATCTTGACAAGGTAAACCTGAGAACCCTCCATGATATTAAGCACATCAATGTGCTTGTAGCAATTCCTGATGCTTGAAAGAAAAACACAGATAATTTACCAGGACATGATTTTGCATTAAGAAAAAGTAGAAAAAACAAGGCAAATCATGCCATTATGATATATACAGGTAGAACGGAAGGACAAAGGAAGTGGGAGCCAGCCTGTAGCAGCTGGGATCAGGTAATGCCTACACTCGCAGTGGAATAACTATTGAGGGAAATGGAGGGTTAATAAACAACAACCTGTAAAACTCCATCTAACTTCTTGACAACAAACAATGCAGGAACGCAGCAGAGACTTAAGCACTGGCTATCTGGATCTCTGTTCTTCAAACTGTCTACAGAACAGCTAGTGGCTACAAGGGGTAGAAGAACCTTGACTAGAATGTGATGACTCGGCTGGTACTGTCGGCTCTGTGTGGATCACTGGATGAAGTGTCTTGAATAAAAGTTTAATCTTCTGTCTGACAATCACTGCAGACAAATCTTACACATAAGAGACAGCGGATAAACCGTCTTCACTTGCAAGAGTGTCAGATCTATACACGCGATTCATCCTTTGCAGCCACTGCTGTGATCACAAGACTTCAGCTCCTTGCTTAAGCCAAGATCAAACCTTGGAATGCTGTTCCTCCCACACTCCACTTCTGGTACGCAAACAGTTCCTCCAGCAACAATTATGGGATATCTCCTTCCACCTAATCCCTAAAGGATTGCCATTGCTGCTTTTGTTCCAGTAAGAGAAGCCCACTACAGAGATCTTAAGACATATTGTTCAGACTGTCACAAGAACATAGCCTGAAGGTCTTGGAGCTTGCACACTACAGAGTTTGTAAACTATGCAGTTTGATTTTCTGATGTTCTTTTATGTTCATTATTTAATTTACAATATCAGAAAGTGCACTCTTAAACAGTTTATACAGATGTCTATAGGACAACATGTAAGTAGTAAGGTACAGGTGTTTCGTATTTTGGTAACCTAGCCACAGTATTATACTTTCACTGTGGAATTTGTTCTTGGAGCATAAGAAGCTATCATCCTAAAAAACCTATCACATCACTTCTGGAGCTTAAAATCTTCAGACAGAAGTAGGAAAAGAAGTCACATCCGTATTCAGAGCATGTCAGCCAGACTAATGCAAAACAACCTCAGAGGCAGGTTAATGTAAATCTTGTGCTGAATGGAAGGAATCTCCCACACTGTTGGTTCTGCTGGCTGAACAAGCTATAATTTTTAACTGTGAGGAGATAAAAATAAACAGTAGTTGGTAATTTCTTCACACACACATGTACACTGAGAAATTCTCTGTGTATGCTCTTTGTGGGACACTAAAGTCTATGATACACACAGCCTATGACACTCAAAAGAACATGAATCCAGAAGCAACTTGCAAAATGACCTCTACCACTCTACTAAAAAGGCATTTGGGATACCTTTAGGATTTTTTTCTCAAAAAAAAAAAAAAAAGTTCTACTAAACATAAAACTGTAATGTTTATTTGTTTATTTATCTTAAATTCTCAATATAATGCATTCTTTCTTTTATTGTAAAACTCCTCATAAGGACTACTGTTTCCACTACAGCCTTTAAGATTTTGAATTTTCCAAAAGTTAGTATTCTCAACCTATTATATTTATACTTCCAGGAAACAAGTTGCTCAGAGAAGCTGTGGATGCCTCACCACGTCAGTGTTTAAGGCCAGGCTAGACAGGGCTGAGAGCCACCTCTTTTAGTGGAAGGCTGGAACTAGCTGATCTTTAAGGTCCTTTCCAACCCAAACCATTCTGTGATTCTATGATCAAAAAAGTCAGTCATATTGCCAATGTATGATTAAGAACAAGCAGTATATGCAGTTCAATAGAGTTTTTTCTGAAAGTCAAATTAATCATTATTCATGTTTCTTCTTTATAGACATAGAAAACCAAATTACACTTCTTAAATATGGATAGATTACTGTGCAACAGATAGTGTGATAGATATTATTTATCTGAAATGGATTCATAGTATTCTGGAATGTTGTCACTATTTTTGATATGAAAACACCCATTTCTCTGGTAGAACAGACTTATAATGCATGCCAGGCAGTCAACCTAGTGTCCTCTGACATTAAAAAATCTACATTTTAGAATTCCTGTCTATTCTTATTAAAAAATGCCACACACTTCAATACAATGGCACTATTTAAGGCAAAATGCCACAAACCCCACTGACTGATAACATAAAAACATTAACTTAGCTATTTAATCACTTAGGGTAAGAGTTTTATTATCAAGATGAAAAAAATGTACTCATCACACAAACCCAACCTAACATAAACCACAACCATCTAAATAAAACTTGAAATATTTTATAGTTCAGAGTGATTCTAGAAAAAAAAAAAAAAATTACTTTCTCTCAGCAGCCAGGCTGCTGTACTTTCTGTTCCTGAACAGCAGATTTCAGTTGCATCTCAAGGAGGAGAGGTGGGTACGTTCCTGCTCTCACCCTTCTGCTCTGTTAAAATCTGCTTTCCCTGAGGAACCCTGGCATGTACTTTTCAAAATGTATTCTTCCTGCCATTTTGACTTCTGATCTAGTTGCCCACCATGCAGTCTGGCTCTTCATAAAACTTCCTGGGAGTTCTTCAGATTTGGGAAAAATCAAAGAGCAGAGACAGAAGAGGAGAATAGCAACAGAGCCCAGAAACACTTCTTTCAGAAATTCGCATCAGGAAATGTAAAGATACAAAAGCAGTGCAGAGAAAACAAGAAAAAAAAAAAGAGTACAGATAATGTTTTCCTGAGCTCTTCTTAGTTCTGATGTTTTTCTTAGTTCTTTCAGGCTGCAAAGCTTCAAAATAAAGGCTTTACAGATTTAACATAGAGCTGCAACATTAGACTCCCTTCAGTGCTTGTAGAACAATGTAAGTAGTACAGACCATAAAGAAATGTTATATCAAAGTATTTATTTTATGACTATATAAATAGTTCCAAAGCAAAAATAATAGGACTGGAAGGCAGGAGATATGTTAAGGAAACAAAAATTATGCGCTTTGAGGGGTTCCCTTACTGTATAAGGTCTTCTTTTTTGTTTAAATTTTTGATAAGCAAGAACAAAGACTAATAAGAATGGGCAAATTCTGATTCGATCAGCACATCTCAAGTCTTACTGATTTCAGCAAGACAACTGTTACAATAAACACTATCTAGCACTCAGAGTACACAGTTTCCATTTTTAAATCAAGGATGTATTGCCCATCTTGTCATTGCTGGAAAATGCTGAAGATCTGCATGCTTTGATCACATTGAGCAAAACCAGTAAGAATCATTTAAATAGAGATTTATGCCATGGCTAAAGGCTACAGCAATTCTTTTGAATAGTGATTTGGAGGGAAAATGATTCCTCATTCACATGGCCTGAAAAAAGACAGAATCATTATTACTTCTTTTTAACTTTGCCTGATTATATACAAATGGTGGTAACATTCACAGACCAAATTCATAATAACCTGAGAACCTCTTTCAGGTTTAGCAGGAGAATCCAGTTTTTCCACAAAGCCTTCTTAACCTTTGAACAAAAGAAAACGAAATTCACATTTTCAGAGTGTATCTGTCTTCCATGGAGTGTGATCAATGGCTATTTTCTGTAAATCGTTGTTGTAAAAGAGAGTTTTCTAGAAAGGGAAATGGTATGTTGATGTGTGTGTAGGTAATATAATCTTTCCTGAGCACAATTTCAACTTAAGTCACAAAACATCTCTATTAATTTGTGTTTGAATTTAATCTGATGGCTATGTAATATGTTACCTTTCTAGCCTAAGAAGATTGCAAATAAATGGTGGGTCAGTCAGAAGGGATAGACTCTGCTTAAAACAGGGTATAATATTGATCTATTAGATCTGGTTCACTAGAATTTTGGAACATATTTTCACTGGACACATGATTGAGGTATATACCTGAGAAAAAGAGTAGCTAGGGAAATGGAGCTACCTAGCATGAATAAGCATGTAGAAGTTAACCATTTCAAAAAAGCTATGATTGTTAAGTGTACTTAATTTCATCTTATGCAATGGTAAATTTACACTGCATTGAAAGCAGTTCCTAAATCTTTTATACCAAGACTGGTACAATTTAAAATGGAAGTTTGACAGTGGTCAGCAAAGTGACTATATAAAAAGGCTACTTTCCAACAGCCTTCCTCCTGGTCTGTACTGAGTATACATTGAGGTTGCTCTTCCTTTTTCTGTTTTTCTGTGACTAAAATATATTTTTAACCACTTTTAATTCCTGGTAGTTGTGTAGAATCAACACAGCTGTAGGAGAATGAGCTTGATACTTTTCCATTTATGTAAGATAAGCAGATTTATTAGCTAACCTCTCAATCTTTATTATGCATGGTATGGTGTGATCAGGAAAAAAACAGCTTTACTTTAGAACACAGGTTGGGTTTTCAGGATTGGCTGCATTGAAGCCCCTCAAAGGAACAAATATAATATAGAATATCTGAATGACAATGAAAAACGCAACCCTCATTATGCTATTGTTACAGACACTTAAAAGCCATGTTTGGAGCATTTTTCCACATAAGTCTGTTGATAAAAATCCTAGTATTTTATACCTTGAGTGCTTGATTACTGAACTTATCTAATGTATATTTTTTATTAAATACAACCATAATATTTTATATAGTCTTACAAAGCTCAGAAAAAATGACCCAAAAGGAATGGAATTAAGATTTCATTTTTCTAAGCTTTTAAGATTACTCTTCCTTCTTGAGGAAAGTCAGATCAATTACTGAAATATCCCAGATAATTTCAAAACATTCTGGAGAACAGATGTTGACATTAAGAGGACATGATTATCTAAAACATTTAAAATAATATAATCTTCAAAGAGAAGTGAATTTTGGCAGTCTTTTTGAGAAACACAACAAATACCAAATGTGTCAAAAAAAAACCAAAAAAGGCTGAGAATAGTATCTTTTAGTTGTCCGCATAATAATAAAGGGCATTTGATTTACAAGGCAGGAATACCAGGAACATTGATAAAGAATGCAAACAAGGAAACTAGGTACAATGCCTTCCTGGAACCAACGACTAATGACTTAGCTTTACTTGTCTTTGTTTTACATTTTGGGAAAAAGTTGAGCAAAATATCAGTGCTAATATAGACACTGTGGTGCTAAATCAAGTGATCTAACACCTGAATACTTAAACAGATCTGCCAGACTGTATAGCATTAAGTTACATCCTGCAAATGGATACCCAATTGGTAGTGCTATAAACATAAAATGGCCTGGAAACTAAGATTTTGCAAACAACGTACAAGATTTTTATTGAGACAGATAAAGAGTAAAAGAACCAGGAGCTAAACTCGTTTATATCTTGAATAGTGTGCACAAAACTACGTCATATAAATAAGTTCAGACAAGATGGATGAAAAAAAACATGAAACTCCAGCAATGATATGCCTTTCTTCATGATACAATATGTTGGTATCTTCGTTTCTGTTCCCTGACTAGCTACACACCCCAATAATGTAATAGGCAAATTTCCCTGTCTGCAACAGTGTCTCAACAGAGACAGTAGCTGTTATGCATCTTTGTAAAAAGATTTCATACCTTCTGATGAGAAATAGTATACGTGCTAGGTTTTACATTTATTAATTGAATTACAGTGGATAAACCCACACACTGGCCAGGAGAGTTGGCTCTTAAGTATCAGACCCCTTCTGCTTGCCTGCTTTGTGCTAGGGTATGTAGAAGGTACTCTTCAGTGTGTGTGCCTGTGTATATTTGCAATGAGAGAGAGGGACAGAAAGAGAAAGGCAGAATGACTGCGTGCATAATAGATCTCAATGAAAACAAGAGCTAAATTAATCTGGGTTGCCAAGAGACCTAATATTCTATTGTGATCAAAATAATGCCAAAGTAAATAGAGAGGTCAAGCAGCAGCAGCAAAAAATTCATCATCTGTCAGGGTATTAAGATCAAAAATAAACTCTTAGGAATATTGTTTCATAGTGCAGAAGACAGGGTCCAGCCTAAGAGAAAACCAAGACACCTTCTTTGAAAGACGTTGCCACATTTGCAATGTGTTACAATCAGTAAAATAAATAAATTAAAAAAGAATGATTGAATATTAGATGGCAACATGCTGGATCTTCTAATGGTAACAGATTTTTCTTCTTAAAAACTGGACTGATAATTGTTTTACTTTGTGGCACTATTAAGAAGTTCCCTACCATAAAAGAAAGATTAACAATGTGAGAACCCAGAGGGATTAGAGAACCCAGAAAAACTGTAACTGTTTAGAACAAAGATTTGGCAAAACATAATAGTGCCCTGAGGTGTTGGAGCATAAAATGCCTAAAGCATTTGTAACTTGAGAATTGTGACAGGCTCAAGATTTGGAATTACAGAATTGTTAGTGTTGGCAGATTCGTTAGAGGTCAGCTGACTCACAATGGTCTTAATTTTGTTCTTAAAGTGGGATGTGAACAGTTCACAAAGTTCTGTTGATGGAGGAAGAGCCAGATTAGTCAGCTTCCCTGCAATAAAAAGTTACAAGAGAGTAGGGCAGACTGCCCGACCAGCAATTGGGTTGGAATAATAAGCAAATCTGGCTTGTTTCAAAACATCTCGGTACATATTTATACAGTCCAAGCTTGTAACTGTATATGCAGTCAAGAAGCACTCAAACAGCATTTAACTTGCAGCCCAGAACATTCACTTTGACTACATCTGCCAAAAAAGAGTCCATAGAAGTGGTATGCTCTTCAGGACATTATGAGGGTGGCTTGGCTATTATATATTTAGGAGAAAATCTAGAACTTCCTGAAGTAGTCAGTAGTATAAGAGGAAGCTGCTTTTGTCTGGCAGACAATTATGTTCAGTAAATAAAGGAATAGAAAGGTAAGGTATCACATATCTTATTTAAGTTTTACTCCAACTTTATTCAGTTCAGATTTTTATTTTTTTTTTAATTCATCCAAGACTAAATGGTAGGAAAAAGTAAAAACAAATAATGGCAATTAGCACCTCCTTCACAGTTTTTATTTACAAAGCCTCTTATCAATATCACTAATATAGCAGGTGACTGTCCTCCAGATGAAGAAACCAAGTCAGTGAAAAAAACAGGTCTTGATGCTATATGGAGTAAGTATGGATTTAGACTTCATACACAAAAATATATTATTTGAAGTCAATGAAACAAATGTCAGGTGAACAGCTAAACACATGTGCAGTATCGGGGGGGGTGGGGGGTGGTGGTGTTGCTATTTGTCCCAGGTCACAAAAGAATCATTATGAAACAGAATTAGGGCACTGGAGTCTCCCATGCCTCTGCCCTGCGTTGCTAACCACAAATGGAGATTGCACTGTCACATTTCATTCCCAGCAGCTGAAGAACAGATGACTTTCTAAAGCACTGTCCACACCTCTAGCACTTCTAAGGTGACAACCTATGTCAGAACAGCTTTATATTATTTTCCTTCACATGGGCTGCCTCAAAAATTGCTCAACTGATGTTAGCTGAATATTAAACTTTAAAGATAAAAAGGATGAGAATTATGAAGTACAAGTGAAAAATCAGACATACTGTAAGAGTATCTGAAATGATCCCAATAGTAAGGGCGAGGGGTGTGTGTGGAATAACAGAAAAGTTAACCTGCCCTACAGAAGACATGGAGAGAAGGTTCCTGCACCATACAGTGAGCAGGGTAGTGCCCAGACAAGAAACACAAGAAGAAAAAAAAGTTAGTGCAATGCTTTAAAATGAGATCATTGATGATAGTGTAGGACTGAGGCAGACTGACAACACAGGAAAATAGATTTACTTTATTCCAAGGCTGCTTTTTCTACAACGTGTCAGTCCCAAACAGCTGTGTTCTCCACTGATCTCTCAGGAAGTTCCACAAAGACAGATAATTTGATTTAGACTACAGAAAGCCGTGGAGACATGTTCTGTAGAGGAATTACGTGCTGTCAGGATACTGTACAACCTGTAACTTTAACATTCACAGTGATTATGATTCTGTGCTTCAGCTATAGCTCTATTTCTACCGTGGTACTGAAATAACCTGAAAGCTTAAACCTGGAAAACAAATACAAACAGCAAACAATACACCATTATAACACATATCAGAAGTTGTTCTAACATAGTAACAGTCCCTTTCTATCACTGGGGGCATGGGCCTTGGAGGCCAGATTTAAAAGTCCTAGGTATTCTTCAGTTCTCCCTGACTGTTGTATGAAGTATGTGGTACGTACCTGCAATAATAATTCATAATGAACTAACAACATTCATCTAGAAAGGATGGAGCCCAAAGACCACAGCTTCATCTAAAAGCATGGGAAAAACTGTGCAGTGGTCTTGTGCAATTGCAATTGCTAGTAGCCACAGCATTGCAGCATTCAGACTGTTTATTTTATGAATTTCACTCTGGAAAGTCATTCAGTGGAAAGTGGTCCAAAAGTGAACCTATTTCCTTTGCTTATGATCTTAAATGTGATGAATAGAGCCTTTGGTAAAGCTGCTATTCTTAAAGTCCTATTTGTGGCAGCTAGATCATGGAGTACAATGTTGCTCTTGGAGCTAACTCTCAGAATGGGACATTTAAGATTTGGGGGTTTAACTAATCTTTCCTGAATTGCCTCCACATTCACATAGGTTTTGCCTTGTTTTTCTTCCACTTTTTCCATATTAATTACTAGCAGAGAATTCTTTGCATACTTCTGCATGATGAAGAAGAGGATAAAATGTTGCTGTTTGTTCTATTTTAGGAAAATGAGCTATTTGCTACAACCTTGATGGCTTCAGTGTTTGTTTTTGTAAGTTTAAAGACAGAGCGCATATGGCAGTAATTCTGGTATGTCTTATGGATGAATTGTACAGAAGAGTTGGACACACTGGAAAATCATATTACTACATATTTTATCATGAGAAAGGGTTGTAAGCAGTAAGTAATAGCAGCTCAAAATCTCATTGAAAACAGGAGGCTAGCAGAATCATGGAACATTTAAGATTGGAAAGACAGCTGGAGGTGATCTAGTCCAACCTCCTGCTCCAGCAGGGACACCCAGAGCCAGTTGCCAAAGACCATGACCAGACTGATTTTGCATATCCCATAGGATGGAGACTCTGTCACCTCTCTGAGCAGCCTGTGCCAGTGTTCAGACATCCTCACAACAAAAAGGTGTTTTCCAGTGTTCAGAGGGAACCGGTTTGCACACACTGCCTCTGATCCTGTCAGGGGTACCACTGAAAAGAGCCTGGCTAAGTTTTATTTGCATCCTCCCTACAGGTATTTATACACATTGGTGAGATCCCCTGGAGCCTTCTCTTCTCAGGCCTTAACAGTCCCGTCTGAGCTTTCTTCATAGGAGAGGTGCTCCAGTCCCTTCATCATCTTCATGGCCCTTCACTGGACTCTGTCAAGTATGTCCATGTTTGTTGTACTGGGGATTCCTGAACTGGGGTCCAACCATCAACTCCAGCAGTAAAACTGCATGAAATAAAAACTTCTAAAATTAAAATGATACCAAATAGTAGCTGACTTTCCTGATTTGGTATGGTAGTTAATAAGATAAATTAACAATGTAACTTTCAGTGATGCTACAGGGAATAGTTCTGAGTTAAAAAAGCAAGATTAGGGAGTGTAGGGCTTGAAACAATGAAAAATGTGTAGCTCCAGTTACGGAGAAAGAGGATAATCTTCTCATCAGCATTATTCTCAATAACATACAGAAATATGCAGGGGCCTAATGTAAAATGGGGGACTGGTATTATCATTTGTGAGTAATTAATCAGACTTGTTACCTTTTCCGATCCAATTCTACCTATTGCAGAGTTCTGCTAAAAAGTTTTCTGAGTAATTATGAGTAAACACAAATGGTCTTGATCCAGTGCTTCTTCCCCTGAAATTCAATAGGAAACGCTCCTTTGATGGACTTTGTATATATTTCTATAATAACAGCCTCAGAACTGCAGATATGTTAAAGTTTTATGTTGGGTTGACTAAATCAATAATGAAAACTTTTCATAACTCCTTGCAGAATGATCATGGTTCTTGGCCTCTAGACGTTACGTTGAGAAAAGGAAAAAAGGGTCAGTAAAAGAAGCTGAACTCCAAAACCAGCTCCCTACAGCACTCAACTCAAGCTACTGTTCTGTCATGCTGAGAGAAGAGCAGGATAGTTCTTAGTTTTTAGGTGTCTCTTGACTAGCAAATTCTGAAACATCTACTTCAGTCCTTCTGCAGAAAAAAAAACCTTTGGTCTCCAAAGAGTATTCCAGTGTAAGCAAAGTGATTTTTTCTCCCTGTTTCTCTTGATTTTTCTCAAAGTCTAATATTGCTACTCCAATTTCCTATGTGGTTGAACCAAGGCAGGAAAATGGAATTAAATAAAAATTAAAATAATAGAAATACACAATCTATAACTACACTCACAAAAAAGTTAGGCATACCTGATTCATACCAGTAATTCCTGAAAATAAAAATAATTCATGCTTGAGGATTTTTTAATCCCTTTTCTCCTAAAACAAACTACCTCAGCTCTATCCCCATCAACTAGAATTTGAGTAAAGACTACATTTGATGTTACCCTCTCTGATCCTTACTTCTTTCAGAGTCAATGGTATTAGCCGCTAGGGCTATGTGTTCTCACTGGCAAACTTTAATAACCCTTTTCTTTTGCCTTCACGTGAAATAAGAAACAAGGCAGGAATAAAATATGTGTTTCTGAGTATAATTTGGTCTTATTCTTACCTTTTTCTTCAGTTTATCTTTTTTGTGC